TCATTGGGTGTTTATCGCTTGTGTGATGTCCTGGTGGGGTAGAAAGTCAGCAGACAGTCAGGGACAGAGGTTACTGTAAACTGACAATGTTGTTTCTTCACTTTTAAAATTTCACTTTTTTTTACACCTCACGAAAGTTTTTTCGTTTATTTTTGCACAATTCAATTTTTAAGTTTGCATGGTAACTGTTCTTCTACCTAATCTTATCTGCAGTTTCTTCCTCCTCTTCTTTGCTCACCGGCTGTAAACTCCAGATGAAAGCCGTGTTTGCTCGTCCATTTAGACTTTGGCTTAGTACCAGGGCCCGAGTTTTGCGTGTATATAAATATCGACTGACTTATTTGTGTGCAGTTGGTTGCTCCCTGCGGCTCGGGCAGATGCACTCCGACTTCGAAGGAAGTCCCCAGCTAGTTTAGTTAGTCTACTTTTACGACATGCTTGTTGGGGAGATCGGCATCTGTGGCTTAGGCGTTGCGAACGCGCTTAGTAATGCCGAGGTGCCGGGTTCGATCCCTGCTGCGTACGGTTTGTCTTGCGATGGTTTCGACTGTGGTACCGAGAGCCGACCGTTCAGGTAGCAATGGCAAACTACTGAACGTAAATTTGCCTAGAAAAACATAACAGCCAGAAAGTACTGGGGTTGGTTCTGCAAAGTCCTATAAAGGAAACGCAACTAATTTTGTTGGGGAGACAGTCAGTCTTTTTTTTTTTTTTACACAATAGAGCCCCGAATCCACGTGAGATCATCGATAGGTAATGAGACTGACGACTGTTACCCATGGAGCATTGGATCGTAAAATGTTCCTCCTCACGTCTCTTCGCGGAAAAAGTAGAAATGTATGGTGGTAAGGATACATGTTGATGATGATGACGATGACGATGTTAATGTTGAGAAACAAATGTTTATACAGAAAATCAAATCACGAATAATTTCTTGAATTATGTTTGAAACAAGTGTCCCCGAGCTCCTTGCAGTCTTCTTCTTCTACACTGTGAAAAAAAAAAAATGGTGTGGTACGGATGGCTGGCAGCTCCTGGGGTTTTTAAGGTTTGAGGTTTTGAACAAAGAATCAACATGAATGGACACAGGTAGTTACCCATACATGCTCCGTTCTTCTTCTAACTCAAGTGCGAGTCAGAAGAAGCTCAGCACAGTGCACATGCTCTGTAGCACAGGCGAGGATCCTGAAATACTTTGGGTAGATTTTTAACTTCAAAATTTTCTGCGGCTGCGCCGTTAGGCTTCTCTTTTCGATTTGCAACGGCCCAGGGATTTTTTTAACGTGCGGAACAATGCACACGGGCGTCCGATCTCTCTACCCAGAGAGCAGGGGGAATTACCAGAAGTCCAAGTCTACGTGAAAAGTCCCAGCCCATACCAGGGATTGAACCCGGAACCTCTAGCACTCGAAGTAGACAACATTCCTCGAGACAACGCAGGCCCCTAGAGCCCTTACAATAACAAAAGAAACAGTCACAGCTGGTGGTTTGTATCAGGTTCGAATTACAATGTTCTTGTAGCTTTAGAGTTTTTCAGTTGTCTTGAAAACATCGTTTCTAATAGTTTCTATTACAGCAAAACTTCTGTTAACCATATACATTGTTTCTATTACAGTAAAACTTCGGTTAACCATATACATTGCTTCTATTACAGTAAAACTTTGATTAACCCTATACATTGTTTCTATTACAGTAAAACTTCGGTTAACCGTATACCTTGTTTCTGTTACAGTAAAACTTCGGTTACCTGTATACCTTGGTTCTGTTACAGTAAAACTTCGGTTAACCGTATACCTTGTTTCTGTTACAGTAAAACTTCGGTTACCCGTATACCTTGGTTCTGTTACAGTAAAACTTCGGTTAACCGTATACCTTGTTTCTGTTACAGTAAAACTTCGGTTACCCGTATACCTTGGTTCTGTTACAGTAAAACTTCGGTTAACCATATACATTGTTTCTATTATAGTAAAACTTTGGTTAACCGTATACATTGTTTCTATTACAGTAAAACTTTGGTTAACCTTTTACCTTGTTTCTACTACAGTAAAACTTTGGTTAATCGTATACCTTGTTTCTGTTACAGTAAAACGTCGGTTAACCGTCACCGTCCGGATTAGGGGTGTGACGGATAACTGTACAGAAATCGGTACTTAATTTATAACTTACCCCTGACGTCACGACAACGTCACGGGAGACATTCCCAATAAATTCTAGGGTGTTCAGGTTGTAGGTTCTCGCGATTTCTCTACAGCCAAGTTTAGGTTTAGGTTTAGGGTTAGGGTTAGGGTTAGGGTTAGGATTAGAAGACACTAGATGAACACTCAAAAAAAGCACCACAGCACACTTGCACCCCTTGAAATAATGGACTGTCAGGTCAGACGTGGATTTCCCACGGGGATTTCGTGTTTGGGGTACGTTATAAATTAAGAACCCAGAAATCTATTAATACAGTAACGTGATTTCACTGCGGGCTTGGCACGAAAATGAAAATAAAATTTGTCACAAGTGAATAATACATGCTAGTAGTTATTTTTTTTAAAAACAAAACTTTCGATATAAACTGTAATATAACAGTAGTAATGCACATAAATGTTTTGTAATACCATAAACATACGTAATTTAAAATAATCTGTCATCTCGTTCTGTGCCTTTGAGGCGCGAGACTTCTGCGCGGCCATGTTCCGTATCTTACGCAGAAGTAGGGTCTGTGTTGCATTTGCCTCCTCGTGCACTTCAAACCAATCAATGCACTTTGATAACATTGTTCCTATTTCTTGGCTCTTAATGCCATGGACTGTGTTGTGTAGAGAGGGCATATCAGGAAGGAAATGAGAGTGAAGGAAGAAATTATTGCAGAAAGGATGAGAGCTGAGTGTCTGAGAAGAAACGGATTAAACACAGATGTTGACAACAATAGTCCTGAAATCCTATGCTTTCATTGTGAACGACTTTTCTTGATAGGGCTGGTCTTGCTAGTCACACTCGCCATCGCCATGGGCTGTTAATCTTATGCCTCCTCATTGCGCAATATATCTATCGTCTGGAAAGACGGAAAGGTCAATCCTGTCTCATAGTGACAAGTTGTAGGTCTTTGGCTAAGAACTTACTCTCCAAACTGCTGTCATAGATGGAGGACAAAAGTTGAGGCTAAGTTTCAAATTTGCTGTCATAGATGGAGGACAAAGGTTGAGGCTAAGTTTCAAATTTGCTGTCATAGATGGAGGACAAAGGTTGAGGCTAAGTTTCAAACTGCTGTCATAGATGGAGGACTGGGGTTGAGGCTAAGTTTCAAATTTGCAATCATAGATGGAGGTCAGTGGTTTGAGGCTAAGTTTCAAACTGCTGTCATAGATGGAGGACTGGGGTTGAGGCTAAGTTTTAAACTGCTGTCATAGATGGAGTACAGGGGTTGAGGCTAAGTTTCAAACTGCTGTCATAGATGGAGGACAAAGGTTGAGCCTAAGTTTCAAACTGCTGTCATAGATGGAGGACAAAGGTTGAGGCTAAGTTTCAAACTGCTGTCATAAATGTAGGACTGGGGTTGAGGCTAAGTTTCAAACTGCTGTCATAGATGGAGGACAGGGGTTGAGGCTAAGTTCAAACTGCTGTCATAGGTGGAGGACAGTGGTTGAGGCTAAGTTTCAAATTTGCTGTCATAGATGGAGGTGAGTGGTTGAGGCTAAGTTTCAGACTGCTGTCATAGATGGAGGATAAGGGTTGAGGCTAAGTTTCAAACTGCTGTCATAGATGGAGGTCAGTGGTTGAGGCTAAGTTTCAAACTGCTGTCATAGATGGAGGTCAGTGGTTGAGGCTAAGTTTCAAACTGCTGTCATAGATGGAGGACTGGGGTTGAGGCTAAGTTTCAAACTGCTGTCATAGATGGAGGACAGGGTTTGAGGCTAAGTTTCAAACTGCTGTCATAGATGGAGGATAAGGGTTGAGGCTAAGTTTCAAACTGCTGTCATAGATGGAGGACTGGGGTTGAGGCTAAGTGTCAAACTGCTGTCATAGATGGAGTACAGGGGTTGAGGCTAAGTGTCAAACTGCTGTCATAGATGGAGTACAGGGGTTGAGGCTAAGTGTCAAACTGCTGTCATAGATGGAGTACAGGGGTTGAGGCTAAGTTTCAAACTGCTGTCATAGATGGAGTACAGGGGTTGAGGCTAAGCTCTTAGCTCTCACCAAATACCTTTAAGGAAATGGCTCTCAACCCTATTTAGGAGACACAAAAGATTAGCTACCACCCCTCTAGCATGTCGTACAAGGCAATTAATAGCGAATGTTTCATTCTTAGTTCTACTGCATCTTCCTGAGAGGCGAGAAACCAACAGTCTGCATACAGATAAGCAAGATCTCCAAAATTAAGGTGCAGCTAACAGCAAAAGTCGAACTCCAGGCTTTTTTGTGGCTGAACTGTTGAATTCGTCGGCAAAAGGGGCGACAACGAGTATCTGGTGCCGTAAACCCAGACGGCTTCTCGAGTATGATCACATCTACCCTAGCAAAACCAGGAGCTGAAGGAGGCATCCAGCAAGGAGGCGAACCACAGCAATCAGGATGTCACGCGCACACGACATGCACAGTAAAATTTATACGAGAGACAAACTTGCTGACATAAACATCTTATTTCAGGCGAACGAAAGAAGCTGATGAAACTGACGCGTAATTGATTGACGGTTAATAGAAGTGTCACTGTACTGTCTCACGGTACAATCTTCAGCTTCCCAGAGAGCATATCAATCTCGCTTGGGCTGGTGCATCTAGGTCTTGATGAAGAACAGCGTGGAGAAGATGATGAGAGACACGGTGCAGGAGCCCAGACTGTAGATAAGAGGCACCCAGACATTTCTGGTGGCATCCATCAGGGGGGCCTATCTAGGTCTTGATGAAGAACAATGAGGAGAAGATGATGAGAGACACGGTGCAGGAGCCCAGACTGTAGATAAGAGGCACCCAGACATTTCTGGTGATATCCATCAGTGGGGGGGGGGGGGGGGCATCTAGGTCTTGATGAAGAACAACGAGGAGAAGATGATGAGAGACACGGTGCAGGAGCCCAGACTGTAGATAAGAGGCACCCAGACATTGCTGGTGGCATCCATCAGGGGGCCCATAAACGAGGACATCAGAATGAAGTGAGTTGGCATCAGGAAGCCTATCAGTGTCATCACCTTGCCCAGGTTTCTCGATGGCTGACCTTTGCTGCTGTTGTCATTCTGTGGATGTGGAGGCCAGAAATAACACTTTAGTGTTTTCATTGTGTTACAGAACTATAATGTGTTTAATTGATTATATAAAGTGTTTAGATTATTGAATGCATAGAGTATTGTGTTCCTTAAAATACAGAACTATAGCGTGTTCAGTTCACTATTAGACACAACTATAGAGTGTTTAGTTCATTACTAAACAAATTAATACAAAACTCTAAAGTAGCTAGTTCATTATAATACGGAACTGTATTCCCATTCGCATTTAGTTGCCCTATTTAGGAGAAAAAAGACCCCACCCCCTCTAGAATGTCGTACAAGGCAATTAATTGCAACAGTTTCCCTCGAAGTTGTATTGGATTTGCCTGAGAGGCGAGGAATCAACAGTCTGCGTACAGATAAGCAGATCTCTAAAATGAAGGTGCATGCAAAACTCTAGTTTTGGACCAAAAGCAGAACTGGACGAAAAAAAACAGAGCCTTCTACAAGAGTGTGTAGCCGGTGAGCGAAAAGAAGAAGAAGAAGAAGAAGAAGAAGAAGAAGAAGAAGAAGAAGAAGAAGAAGAAGAAGAAGAAGAAGAAGAAGAAGAAGAAGAAGAAGAAGAAGAAGAAGAAGAAGAACAAGAAGAAGAAGAAGAAGAAGAAGAACAAGAACAAGAACAAGAACAACAACAAAAAGAAGAAGAAGAAGAACAAGAACAACAACAAAAAGAAGAAGAAGAAGAAGAAGAAGAAGAAGAAGAAGAAGAAGAAGAAGAAGAAGAAGAAGAAGAAGAAAAAGAAGAAAAAGGAGAATGAGAAGGAAAAGAATAAGAAGACGTTATAACATGTACCTCCTCCTGGGTGAACTTGTTAGCCAAGACAAACGGGAGAGTGAAGGCGCAAGTCCTGAAGGCGCCACAGAAAACCATGAAGACATAATAGGCCTCCAGGCGCTGGGTCAGGATGACCGCTAGCAGAGACACAATCAGGAAAACGTGGCACAGGACGAACTGGAGCTTCTCACCTGCTGACAGGTAGATCAGTGTCATTACGGAACTTGGCGAGGCGGTGGAGAGGAGCCGTGTGTGTTGTTCTCTTGTGGGTGTACGTGTGGTTGTCTTGTGGTTGTCTGTATGGTTGTCTTGTGGTTGTCTGTATGGTTGTTTTGTGGTTGTCTGTGTGGCTGTCTTATGGTTGCCTGTGTGGTTGTCGTGTGGTTGACTATGTGGTTTTGTTGTGGTTGCCTGTGTGGTTGTCGTGTGGTTGTCTTGTTGTTGTCTTGTGGTTGTTGTGTGGTTCCATGTGTGGTTGCCTGTGTGGTTGTCTTGTGGCTGCCTGTGTGGTTGTTTTTGGTTGCATGTGTGGTTGTCTTGTTGTCTTGTGGTTGTCTGTGTGCCTGCATGTGTGGTTGAATATATGGTTGTCTTGTGATTGTATGGGTGTCTTGTGGTTGTCTGTATGGTTGTCTTGTGATTGTCTGTATAGTTGTCTTGTGGTAGTCTGTGTGGCTGTCTTGTGGTTGCCTATGTGGTTGTCGTGTGGTTTTATGTGTGGTTGCCTGTGTGGTTGTCTTGTGGTTGTCTGTGTAGTTCTCTTGTCTTATTGTCTTGTGGTTGTTTGTGTGCTTGCATGTGTGGTTGTGTGGTCTTGTGGTTGTCTGTGTGCTTGCATGTGTGGTTGAATGTATGGTTGTCTTGTGGTTGTCTGTATGGGTGTCTTGTGGTTGTCTGTGTGCTTGCATGTGTGGCTGAATGGATGGGTATCTTGTGGTTGCCTGTGTGGCTGTCTTCTGGTTGCCTGTGTGGTTGTTGTGTGGTTTCATGTGTGGTTGCCTGTGTGGTTCTCTTGTGGTTGTCTTATTATTTTGTGGTTGTTTGTGTGCTTCCATGTGTGGTTGCATGTTTGGTTTCCTATGTAGTTTATGTCGTTGCATGTGTGGTTCCCTGTGTGATTGTTTCGTGGTTGTATGTGTGGCTGCCTTTTAGTGCTATGTGTAGTAGCGTTGTGGTTGTCTGTGTGGCTTCCTGTATAGTTTCCCATGTGATTGTCAGTGTTTTTTTCTTCTGTTTAGCTTTCGATGTGGTTGTCTGTTTGGTTGCATGTTGCCTGTATGGTTGGATGTGTTTCCGTTACCCTTAAGTAGACGCCATAGCGCGACTTACCGATCAGGTCAATGATCTTGGTGTTGTTGAGGCTGACCAGCATGTAAGCAGAGTAGAGGACCAGGTTGCCAAGAGCAGCAGTTTGAAGCCCCTTCTCGTAGAGCTGGTAGCCCTCAGTACCAACTGCGGCCGTGGGATCCCCGTGAAATATGCCAACTGTCAGCGTGTTGGACACGTAGACGATAAAGCCCAGACTACTGCCAACGGTGAAGAATGACGACACGGTGAGAATTGCAAGTCGAGTTTTCAAGCGAGCTTTGCTATCAGTGCCCTGTCCTGTGGGTCTCTTCTCTTGTAGCTGCTGCAGTTTCCTGTTATGGAAGTCTCCTAGCGGCGATTGCATCACCGACATTGACATGGAGTAGGACTGTCTGATGGCTGCCAGCACTGCCGACACGTTGCTATCAACATGCTGCTGCTCGTAGAGCGGCATGACTGCATCCTCCGTATCTGATACATCATCGACTTTATTGTCCTGGGTGTCCACCTTGTCCTTATTGTCAGGTTCTGTCTGGGAGACGTCGTCCATTGAAGAGGTTCGAAGAGCGTTATTTGTAGCCACTTCTGTATCAGATGAACTTCCGTCGACCATATCCTTGATTGAGTACAGCACGGCTGAACCGTTGGAGATGGCTGAGTAGTTGTAACCTTTAGTGCTGTCCTCTAGCAGAAGTGGACGTGTCGAAGTATCTCCCTGCTCGGTGTGAAGTATGTCTGGGACATAGGGTCTGTCTTCTCGCAGCTTCTGAAGCTGGCTCTGGGATCTTCCTCTGATTCTTCTTCTAGATACTCTTGGGGTTCCTGGGTCCCTAGATTGTTGAGACTGGTGAAACGATGCCGTTCGATGATCGCTGGTGGTGTCTGAAGCTTGTGGTTGCCTGCTGATGAGGATGCCAGTGATCGTGGTACAGCTGTAGCCGATGATCGTGGTGGTGATCAGTAAACTACAGAAGAAAATCAGCGCCGCGGCAACACCCTCCACCTGAAATATCGGACCAAGGATCCGAGGGAAATCAAAGCAGCCAATGATAGAAAAAGTGGTGCCTGCCATGGAAGCTACCACTGTTGCCAAGACTAAGAGTCTGGTGTGCTGAAAGGTCGGGGTATTCTCTAGGATGAAGGCTCTGGTGAGAGAGACACTCATGTCAAAGCCGATGTCAATCAAAGCAAAACCGGTGATAGACATAAAGGCGGTTGCTGGTATGTCAGAGTGTTGCCCGACCTCTGAACTCTTGGCTGTTGTTGCTTCTGCATTCAGTGAGGATACCCAACTGTTGCCTGAGAAGTTACCAGGGACTTCGAATGTTGGTTCTGTTGAAACTGTCATGTTTGGCAACCCTGTGATGTTGTTGGTCGAGGGGAAGCCTTGTGAGGCCAGCTTGACGAATCCGCAGGCTATCAGAAGTCCAAGCCCGCACAGGAAACCAGCCATAGCTACATACAAGGCAAGCATCTTCCTCAGCTGTGGACGATTGATAGAAACAACTCATCATATTACAAACACAGATGATAGTGCTACCGTCCGACAAGAAGGTCATTCAATGTAGAAGAGACAGACACATTTAGTGTGACAAATGGCACCTATAGCAGCGTTCACAATTACGCGAGACATGAGAACCTCCTATGTTTTTGGAAGGAATGTTGTATGTTGAATTAAGAATCGACATCACAGCACTCGAGACACTTCCATAAGGGCTCCGTCCCCATCTTCAGCAGCAAGTTCATAGTTCCAATTCTGATGCCACCAAAAACAGTCTAGCCTGTCCGTTGAGTGTTGAGCATTGGCCGGCCAGCTTCCTCTAGTCACTTCTCACTGCACCACTGTCCTCAGACGTATTTGTACCTATGTACTGTTCACTCGCTTCCAAAGGACCCTTACAAAATCTAGCTTGGCATTCAACAGTTCACCACCAAGCGATGCAGAAACATTCAGTCTGCCTGTTCGTTTCCCAACGCACTTGCATAATCTGGATGAAATATCCAAAGGAAGCTTACTACCATGGAACTCTTTTCTAGGGTTTGCCAGGATCATCAGACTTTTTTTTTTAAAAGTCACATTTAAAGAAAAAAAAATTAAACAGTAAATCTATACAAGAACCGGCGGATTTTGTGTGTGTGTGGTGGGTGGGCACATCCTCAGTTGGCATCCACTAAACTAAAGCATTCTTCGTCCGTCTCCTCTGTGTTTCCTTTCATCTTTTTGCGTCAGGATACGGTAAGAGTCATCAGACGGCTATGATAAGGTAAGGTTTCTGTAACATTCAGTATACAAGACATATCTGCAACATGGTCCTAGCTTAGTGTCTGCAGCCTCACTTCTTCCAGTTGTCTGTCACGTCATTTCCTGTAGATGTCTATGATCTGATCAGGTCTAGTAATGTTAAAACAATTAAGAAACGCTACCAAGTTGCTGCAGAAGAAGGTACAAAATAATCCAGGCCGAAATAAATGAAATGAAAGTCAACAGATGAGAAAGACAAATCAAAGAAACGTTAGTTGAAAAAGACAGGACATTTGGTAAGACAAAAGGGCTTATTAGGTGAAACAGCAGACGTAATATCACATAAAAGGTCATTTCCCGCGCTAAAAGGTGCATTTTGTGTTAGAGATTTATTATTTAGACCAGCGGTTTTTAACTTTTTGCAGGGGTCGCCTAAGACCATCGGAAAACACATAGCAACTGGTTATAAAGTAGCAACGAAAATAATTCTAAAGCTGGGGGGTCGCCACAACATGAGGAACTGTATTAAAGGGTCGCGATATTAGGCAGTTTAAGAACCACTGATTTAGACCAACCGGTACTCAATGCCTGATATGGTCTATATCACGCCCATGACTTCACATAGTACCCATTTTAGACTGGGTCGACCTGGGAATTATGGTCCTTTGAGAAAATAACCTGACCAGAAGCGGAAGTGTACCTGCAATCTTTGGGCCTAGACAATCAAATAGATCAGAATTAAATACCAGGATGAAGCCTCGTACCTTTGGATTGGATCCTTTGTCCGTGATGTAGCCAAGAATCGGCAAGAGAACCATGCTGACTCCGCCGCAGACGATCCCGTTGATGGAGACCAAGGACAAAGGCACCCCCAGGTATTGCAGTCTGCCAGAAGGACAGGAAAAGATATAAATCTGAACGAAAAATATATCAGCAAGCTTCACAATATAACAAACACAAACAAAACGTGAACGTTGCGGCTAAGGAACCTTCATGAGCACATACAAAAATCAGACAATACCACACAAAAACATAAAATCACTTAGCTTAGTATCCCGAAACAGCCATCTCGATAAATTGTCAGTAGACTGACGTGACTCGTGGGACAGGAGAATAAATACCTCCGGGGAATGCCAGGGACCGTAACTGAAGTGTTTTAGATAAAACTATGTGTGCAGTTCAATCCCTAGGATTTTAGAGAAAACTGTGTTGGCAGTTCAGTCCTCTACGTGTTAACGTGCCCAAAGTACAAATAAGGCGATTTTTAAGAGACTTGCGGACTCTGTCGCTGGAGTGGCTATATTTGATGGCTGTAACGTCCATGTCGTCGACTTGCTGATCCTGGCAACTGAAGTGCATTGGTACTGGTTTTAAGGCACCGTTCTGCACACCCAAAAGATGTCTGAACGTGTCAGCCAGTTGTATATTTGTTTCATAGACGTATTTCATGCGATATCTCTTAAAATTGATGGAGCAAATGACATTGCGGCTCGTGCAGTAGAATGCTTCACATATGTGGAAGGTGGCATTCGGGAATTCCATACTTGCACCCTGAACCACATATAGGCAAGAAAGAAAGAAAGAAAGAAAGAAAGAAAGAAAGAAAGAAAGAAAGAAAGAAAGAAAGAAAGAAAGAAAGAAAGAAAGAAAGAAAGAAAGAAAGAAAGAAAGAAAGAAAGAAAGAAAGAAAGAAAGAAAGAAAGAAAGAAAGAAAGAAAGAAAGAAAGAAAGAAAGAAAGAAAGAAAGAAAGAAAGAAAGAAAGAAAGAAAGAAAGAAAGAAAGAAAGAAAGAAAGAAAGAAAGAGTTATGAGGGGACGGCCAGGACACACTTAAACATCGGGACTGTCCTGGTGAAAGCAGGATGTATCGTCACATTAGCTAAGAGCAATGAGAAATTAATAGCTCTCTCTCGCTCTCTTACTCACTCTCTTTCTCTCACTTACTCTCTCTCTCTCTCTCTCTCTCTTTCACTCAAGCTCTCTCTCACTCACTCTCTCTCTCTCTCTCACCCACTCTCTCTCACCTGTTCTCTCTCCATAACTTTCTCTCACTCACTTTCTCTCACTCCCTCTCTCTTACCCACTCTCTCTCTTACTCACTACTCTCTGTCCCTCACAACACTCTCACTCACTCTCTCTCTCACTCACTCTCTGTCTAACTTACTTTTTCTCACTCACTCTCTCTCTCACTCACTCACTCTCTCTCACTCACTCTCTGTCTAACTTACTTTTTCTCACTCACTCTCTCTCTCACTCACTCTCTCTCTCACTCTCTCTGTCTAACTTACTTTTTCTCACTCACTCTCTCTCTCACTCACTCTCTCTCTCACTCACTCACTCTCTCTCACTCACTCTCTGTCTAACTTACTTTTTCTCACTCACTCTCTCTCTCGATCACTCACTCTCTCTTACTCACTACTCTCTCTCTATCCCTCTGTGTGTGTCAGTGTGTGTGTGTGTCTCTCTCTCTCTCTCTCTCTCTCTCTCTCTCTCTCTCTCTCTCTATCGCCCCGTCTCTGTGAATGTATATGTGTGCATCTGATAAACTTCTAAGGTAAGAACCATTTTTCAGTATGTATATTGTCTAGCACATCTTCTCAATTCAGCTTCACTCTGTCCCTCACTATAAATGCCAGTTAACAGCCGGACTTCGCCCCCGCCCCCGCCCCCTTCCGTCTCCCCCCCCCACTCCCCCCAGGTAAGATGATAGAGTTTTTCTGTCGGTTGCAAAATTAAATAACCTGACCTGAACAGGGGTAGATTTTTAGCTCTAAATTGGGCCTAGCTACTCTTTTCGATTTCCAACTGCCTAGGAAGTTTTTTTTTGTTTTTTTGTTTACGTGTATATTGTATTGTCGTCCGATCTCACTACCCAGAGACAAGAATAGACCCACTGCCTCCCCAAAGGCATGTCGTAAGATTTGACTAATTGGGGAGCTTCCTTTGAAGTCGGAGTGCATCTGCCGGGGAGGCAAGGAACCAACAGTCTGTATTCAAGAGAATAAGATCTGTAAAACTGATGCACACGCAACACTCAGGTTCTGGAGCAGGACTGCAGTTCAATAGTGGACGAGCAACCAGAACTTTCCACCAGAGTGTACAGCTGGTGAACGCAAAGAAGAAGAAGAAGAAGAAGAAGAAGAAGAAGAAGAAGAAGAAGAAGAAGAAGACTATCCAGAGACCAGGGGGAATGTCTAGAAGTCCACGTGAAAAAAAATCCTAGCCTTCACTGAGGCTTCAACCCGTGACCTTTAGCACTCGAGGCGGACGCCATGCCTCAAGACCACGAAGCCCCTTGTAGTACTTACTTCAAGTGGGGACAACTGTTGGTATTTGTGCTCAGTGTGATACCGCTAGAGCTACCACTCCTATACTGTTACATCTGCTGGCGGAGACTAAGCACGAAGATCTTTATCAATAGTGCTAGAGCATGTATGCTAAGTATTCATTAAACGTGCTGTAGCATCTGTTTGTCTCATGTTTACGTCATGGAATTGCGCCACAGCAGGGCCAGTGTCAAAGACCGACACGGAGACAGCAGACGCATGAAGAACGGCCATCAGCTGGGTGGGACTGTATATACCAGATTGGCATTGCTGTTCTTGTAGCGCAGTGGCTAGACTGTGTCTCTAGGTTTAATTTATTTTCACTACAGAGAGACCTAGTAGCTTTATTTAAAGTAGCGACAGTTAGAACTGGTTAGAATATAGTTTTACGGGTAGCTAAACAAACATTATGTAAAGAAAACCGAAAAATACCTCATAAGAAAACACTTTGATGTAACGTGATGTTTCGGGACTTTCCTGGAAACTGCCGGCTTTCCTTTTTTTTTTTTTGGCGGTGAATTGAAACTGAAATGCTAAAATCTTCACCGTGTGGGTTTAAGGGTCACTTTTGGTCGGAAAGGGGGGGGGGGGGGGGGGCAGGGGGATAGACCTACTGTCTATAATAAGTATGTCGTAACAGGCGAAGTCAGAGTACATCTGCCTGAGTGACGAAGAAACAACATTCTATAAACAGATATGTCAGATCTGTAAAACGGATGTGCACGTTACACTCAAGTAATGTACTTTTAATTTACTGATAAATTGTGACCGCGTGAAACTATTCAACATTTTTTTAAAACTAGACGCAAGTAACCGAGCTTATTCAAGTCTTTAGACCCACCCCCTATCCCTACCTCTTCCCCCCCTCCCCCATCAGATGTCAGTTCAGGGGTCTCATTTGGAGAAAAAAGGGGTAAGAGGGAGAATAGATTCACTCCCCCCCCCCCACCCAACCTCTATCTAACAAGCATGTCGTAAAGATCCACTAATCTTTTGATGGCACCACTCGTGCACTGCTAGTTCTAGCCTAGTGCCGGAATGGCGCACCATGCATACAGTTCTTAGTCCACTTGTTGCTACAGCGAGGCTCTGTCGTCATTTGGAGGTGACTGACAGGCTCAAATCCCGGCATGGTCACTAGAGATTTAAAAATAAAAAATAGTTTCTAGTCTTTCCTTCTGCTTTCTTGTTCTTTCTATGCGTAACAACTCTAGAGTGCACACCTACACAGCTGCTTGATTGTTGTTAGGTCATTTTCAAACGAAGAACTTCGAATTCGGATTGCATCTGCCCTAGAGGCGAGGAACCAACAGTCTGCTTACAAATAAGCGACATGTGTAAAACGGATATACACACAATTATCGAGTTATGGAACAAGACTAAAGTCTAGAAGTGGACAAACAACCAAAACGTTTTGTTTGAATCTACAGTCAAAGAACGCAGAGAAGAAGAAGAAAAAGAAGAGAAAAAAGAAGAAGAAGAAGACATTTAAAGTGTCCTGCCAAATTGATAACGATCTATTAGATCTGTTAGAACTGTTGCTCGCAGGCTATGGATCGCGAGCATTTTGTGGGTCGAATGACCCTTTCACATGGGTCGTGTAAGACCATCAGAAAACACAAACTCACTGAAGTTATGAGGTAGCAACGAAAATAAATGTAAGATTGAGTGTCACCACAACATGAGGAGCTCTATTTAAGGGTCGTTGAGAGCCACTGTGTTAGAAGGCATCACACATGTTGATGATGAACGGAAGAAAGTACTGGGTACCTACATGATTATCTACTAGATCTGATCGAAATAATCACACAAAACAATGATGAACGGAAGATAGTACTGGGTACTTATATGATTATCTAGTAGATCTGCTTGAAGGAATCACACATATCGATGATGAACCGAAGAAAGTACTGGGTACTTAAATGATTATCTACTAGATCTGATCGAAATAATCACACAAAACAATGATGAACGGAAGATAGTACTGGGTACTTATATGATTATCTAGTAGATCTGCTTGAAGGAATCACACATATCGATGATGAACCGAAGAAAGTACTGGGTACTTACATGATTATCTAGTAGATCTGATAGAAGGAATTACACATGTCAATGATGAACCGAAGAAAGTACTGGGTACTTACATGAAGATCTGGTAGGTCTGCCCGAAGGAAGCACACATATCTATGATGAACCGAAGAAAGTACTGGGTACTTACATGAGGATCTGGTAGATCTGCTCGAAGGAAACACATATATCTATGATGAACCGAAGAAAGTACTGGGTACTTACATGAGGATCTGGTAGGTCTGCCCGAAGGAATCACACATGTCGATGATGAACGGTAGAAAGTACTGGGAACTTACATGAGGATCTGGTAGATCTGCTCAAAGGAAACACACATCTCGATGCCAAAGAGAGCCGACACCAGCAAGATCTGCGACACAAAACTGATTCCTTTCTGACCAGGCGGTGGTTGCTGGGTGGAGGAG